AAGAAGAAAAGCAGCAATCTCTGACAGTCTTCATTGTAAAAGTATGTTTCCAAGCCCCACAGTGAATAGTACACCACTGTTTCACAGGACACAGTTGTAGAGTCACACTGTTAATTCAGAAAGATCATTTTAATGTATATCAGGCAACTTTTATTTTACAGCTTCAGTGAAAGACGTTTCTGTTTGCCACTTTAACTCCTGTGGCCTTGTGCATCTGTAAGGAGAATTTTCAATGAGATTCTGCAATCAAAAATTACATTTAAATCAACTTTCTGTTTTTGGAATACATTTTAGATATGAATCTCTTGAAATCAGTTATGCTTTGTTCTTCTTATCTCAATATCTTTTATTATTTTTGTAAAACTTAGATCACTTCATTTACATGTTTATTACCTTGTCAGAATAAATGTTGCAAAGAACTTTCTTCTGGCTTTGAAGCCCAGTAATTGTATTAATACCAATTTGACTCACATCAGTAAGATGTAAAAATTCTTTTATCTTTGCCCATCTTGGAAAAAAAAAAAATCATTTGGATATGACGTTTCATGATTGATTTATCTTTTCTGCAATTCCTTCTTTCGGCATTCATTGTGTGTAACATAAAATGAAAGATGCAGGTAATTGTAAGTGAAGCTGACAACACCTTTTTAAAGAGCACACAGTTAATAATCTGCCCAACCAGCCATGAAATCATAATGGATCTCATTCAGGGGCCACTACGACGGTCCACTCATTATTGTGGAACCATTCAAAACACTGGTACTTCTACTGCTGCCAGCGCCGCATTAAAGGATTTAATAGAGTGAAGTGAGGCCTGCAAACTGAAAATGAAAGAAAATCTCTTATCAGTCTATTTTGTTGACTGAATTATCTTTCTAATTATAATTATAGTTCACTGCTGCTCTACATTTTAATTTCTAAATGTTTTTGTTTTTTTTGTCTTTTCAGGTTAATACATTATGCACTGTGTCAACCACAATAAGTGGCTCCTGGACCTTCCCATTCATCTGTTTTTTTCTTGCATCACAAGTTCACAGCCAAAATATTTTTGATCAGGTACAAATTATAGCACCAATATACAGTATGCAATCGAAATAAAGTTTGAACATATAACAAGTGATGACTGAAAGAGTTTGAAAGTATATTTCTCTTTTTTTTTTTTTTTATAAATGAGAAAAACTGATTTTTATTTTCATTGTGTCATGAGGGAGCTTCTGCACATCTCGTCCCTGCACAAACAGCTAGAAGAGCTGCTCCGCTGCCATGATCTTAGGGTTCTTAGTGTGTGACCCATGTCACGGGCCTCATGGCCTGATGGACACAGCTGTCTTGCCGCAGGCAAAAAGGAACAAGGAGGGACGGCGGGAAAAGATACAGACAGGAAAAAGGAGAAAGATAGAGAGAGGGAGGGCAAGTGATTGTATTTTTGTGTGTGTGTGTGTGTGTGTGTGTGTGTGTGTGTGTGTGTGTGTGTGTGTGTGTTTGTGCGTGTGTTTGGTGGCAGTGTTGATTGTCCTCTGGCACTTTCTGGGGCATGTGCCCACTCAGCATGGCATCCCGCTTATTCAGCACCCCACGAAAAACTCCACACAACACACAAAGTAAAGTCACACAAACGCTTGTGACACAGAAGGAAACAGCACCTCACATGTTGCTGACCGTCGCGCCCACATAGAGCAACGCAGGCACACTCACATGAACACTTGGCAGGTACTGGGCCTGAATACCGCACAGCAACATGAACATGAAAAATAGCTGGCGAAGTTGCCGGACGCCATAAAGGAAGGCACACAAATATCCCAGGAGACATCCGTATCCGAAACAATGGAATGAACAGAAATGCCACAGGACTTGGCTGAGAAAATCTGGGAAACAAGGTAACGGTCCCCACTGAACCTTATAAAGACCAAAACAGACTTGTCAGATTTTTAATTTAAGCTGAAGACAATTTGGTTTGCAGGCATTTTATCAAAAGTTAAATGGAAAAGAAAACAAACCAAGTTTTATTTATGAAGCTTTTATGTTGTATTTGTATACATTTTTTGATCTGGATACACAGTATATCATGACATGGAACGTTTTTCATTACACTTTGCTTCAAATAATTAATTTTGACAACACAATTTTACAAAAGAATAACAGGAACATATCCCCATAGTACAGTGCAATATCAAACGACTTCCTGGCAGCTGACTGTCTATAGAATAATATATTCTCCTCTGCTACAGTGAGCTGCTGGCTCCATGCTAAGGCCCTGCTTGACCACAGACAGGGCCTCGCAGAGCCAGGCAGGGCTGGACAGGGATGGGGAGGCACAGAGCGCATGTTAGGAACAGAGGAAAGAGCCACTCGGACTGGAGGAGAGCCACATGTGCTGGGCCGCGGAGAGAGACTCCGACACTGCTCACGCTGTCAACACGCTGACATATACATACACAAACATTTGTGTGGCGGTACAGACATGCACGCAGACACACACCAGTGCACATACACACTGCAGGGCCAAGCCAATTAACACCCTGCCACAGCACAGATCATATTCAGAGCAGTAGTGGAACAGGAGGGCATATGTGGATAATCATACATGCAAATGAGATGAACAAGGAAGGCATCGAAATTCTGGCAACAACTCATGACAACACCTCAAAGTAGAGCCTTGAATCACCTATCGAAAATGTATATTGTTGCATAACATGATTAGCATAATCCCATTGACAGCATTTATTTATGAAAGTTAACCCTGACTGAACCAAACAAGTGGCAGTCTGTCAATAAGTGTTTATGTCAAATCAAAGATATTAACAATGGATCTTACCTGTCTAAGTTTTACTTGGTTGGGACAGTGCTGCCAGTGAAGAGACAAATTTCATCTGCATTTAAGTCACAAATATGAAAGATGGAGCAAGTGAAGGTCTCAGGTGCAAAATTCTTCTTCCCCTGAAGTTTGACTCCAAAACCAGAAGATGGCAACATACCTCTGGCTGAGACACCAGCACTGCCTCGCTGCTCCTTTAGTTATTTATGCATTCACATGTTCACCTAGTGCTTCATTTATTTATTTATTTATTCATTTACTTGCACCGCAATACAAACATTATAAGTCTTGAAGAGAGGAGCAGGTAAATATAGTGAATTATTCACTAGGTTCCTGACTTGACTACTGGTGGTTAGGCAAGATAAAAGCCAAGGCACACAAATCCCTACGGTTGGGCTTGAGTGTGTGTTTGTACATGTAGGTGTGTATGCACATGTGTGTGTGTGTGTGTGTCTTTGTGTATATACAGGTAGGTAAAGGGAGATGGACCGGTGATGGATGGACAGTGTGTTAGCTGCAGATTTTTTAAACATTCTTCCATTCATTCTGAAGAATGTTCTACTATTCCTCTCTGATTTTCTTCTTCTCTTCCTCTCCTCCTCCTCCTCCTCCTCCTCCTCCGCTTCACTGTGTCACGTTTATTACATAAATAAACGGACAGAGAGACCACTACAGGGTTCCAACCCAAAAAGCAAAGATATCAACGTCAGTCCTGACTAATGCAGAGTGCGGGTGCCTTTCCAACAACAGTGTGAATGGTAAATGAGTCTCTTTTACAGTAAAGAGTCCCCACTATACGACAAGGGCTGATCTACTTTACCCACCACTCGCAGCAATGACTGTCACTTCAAACAGACTGTGCTAAGATGAGTTTATTTACCATGGTAAACAATTTAATATTTGATGTACAGTACAGTGAGCAACCCTCCCCTCATCGTTTTCTCCCCTCTCCTCTTTTTGTTTTCTTGTGTGTGTGTGTGTGTGTGTGTGCTGGCATAGTCAGCGGGGCTACATGAGGCAACGAGAGCATTTGAGTGCATGTATAATCTCTCAGAGAGATGACGATGAAGAAAACATACTGGCTGCTAAGTGAACACTTTGATATAGGGATTCAGATACTCACTGTGCGCACGATGGCTGTCACCATTATTCATTCATTTTTCTGATTTTTTTCATTTTTATTTTTATAAAATATCTCTACAGTGGTCAAGAAAAAAATTATTAAAAGGTCAGTTCACTTAAAACACTGATATGTTTTTCATCTTTTATCTAGCTATGTGGTTTCGGGGCTTACAACACCCACTGTGTAGACTTGTAGCATAAATAGCTTTCACTGAAACAATTTCTAGTGAAGTAAGAAAGAAGATAATAAATAAATAAATGAATACAAACTGGGACAATGTTTCTGGAAAGAGACTTTAAAAAAAAATGAAATCAATGCTTTTAGCAGCATAAACAAAATTCTATTTACATCCACTATATTGGTGTGTCGCCTTAATCTGCCTGGCTATAGATAACACTAGAGGTAAGTGGCAAAATGTGTTTTTATAAAGTGAGTAAATCATCCCATTAATGAGATTTTTTTTTTCATAATTTTTGGCAATGCGAAAAAAACTGGAATCTATTCACAACATCAAACACATCAGCAAGTACAGATTTCTTGTTGAATCCTATTCATTTTTAATGCCTCTTGATAGTATTGACACAAATATGAAGGTTATGTAAGCGCTACAGTCATCAATAGGCATTCATCTGAAAGAAATTCCACATCAACATCAAACTGTACAGTTGTATTAAATCTGTGTTGGGTGGTGGGGGTGAGGGGGGCAGAGGGTGGTGGGGGGGCTGTGGGTCCATGCCAAGACGGCCCATGAGGGCAATGTGGCACGACCAAGAGGAAGGAGCCAGTTGGATGGCTGAAGTGTAAGAGCTGGGAGCAGAACAATTACAGCAGTCACTTACCATCACAGTGTCTGGTTGAGGCAATGGCACAGCAGGACGCCGCAGGGCAAGAATGAAGCTTTCATCCAGCTGGTATCACAAGATCATGCTGGTCATGCCAGAAATGACAAAACAATATGCTGAGCCCACTAAAAGGTTTTAAACATGTTTTTTTTATTTTTATTGTTTAATAATTAAAACTTACAAATTTTACATTAGAGATATAATGGATCCATGTGTGGATAGCAGTTATGTGAAAGGAGATTCAGGATCTGATGTAAAAATCTGATACTTCATGTCATTTAACTTGTCTCTTTTCAACTGGATTCGTATGCTCAACCTCAACATGTGTCATTTGGCATCTGTCACAGTTTTTGGAAGGTCCGATAGCAGACATGACAAACATTAAAAGTCGAACACTGCTGATATTTTGTCAGCTTTCAAAATAAAATGTAACATTCTTCAGCTAACGAAATACTTCAGGTCCAGATGGAGAATGTGACTAGAGTGAAAAAAAAACTACATGTGCCAAAATAACCACCCACAGACATGGGCTGGGCATTCAAACGCATGCATCTACACAGATGCTAACATATAACATATCTGCATGCAAAGAGTTACACACAGGCACACACACACGTATGCACACACAGAGCTGAGGCAGCTGACCGCATCTGCCCCTCGTCCTCAGGTTCAGTGGTGGCGACTCCTGCAGCCTCACCTCCCCCTGTCACGTCTGATTCTCCTGGTAGGATCCATCATCTGGCTGGCAGTCTGGGTGCCAGTCAGCTGCTTCCCAGGGGAATCCCAGGCGTTGGGAGCTGGGAGGCACTGGGCTGAAGCCTCCCCAGCCTCGGCAGCAGCTGTGTGGGAGACAGAGAGAGGTGCGGCACAGATGTGGGAGTCTGGAGCCAACAGAAGGTATGGCTGATTTCAATGTCGGCCATATTTGTTATTCCACCTTTTCCTGGGAGGAAGAAGCAGGCCCTTGATCTGACTCACAGCTAAACACTTAGCTTTTGTTCCAGAGATGAATAACTGCAAGGAGAACGAGGCGTGAGGGAAAACGAGGTAGAAAAGGAAAAAAAGAGAAAAAAAAAAGACTTGGGGCCAGAGGAGAAATCCGGTGACCGAGTGCAGAGTGAGGCTGGTCATTTTATTCCCCGCTGAGCCTGTATTACAGAACAAGAGCCTGTGAGCCGTGACACACCTTCCCCTTTGCTGCAATTCCTTGAAGCCACCGACAAACTTACACTCATCACACACCACGTCAAAACATAGCAGAGCAATTTATACATCTTAATCTATGAGTAAAAATCTTTTTACATGTTCATTCTCTACATTCACAAAAAGAAATAAAGTCTACATTAAATTGAATTTGTATAAACAGCAAATAAGTTTGGATTTTTATTTTTTTTTTAAACAATAATTGGCTTTAATGACTGAATTTCCTCTCCTGTTACATTTACAAAGGGTGGGAAGGGATTCTGCCCACCATAAACAAACTTGCCCTGCTGACTCTCTGTGGACCCATGTGATGAATAGTACCAGTCAAAATCATCGCTAACGCTCATAACCAGATTTTCACAGGGAATTTTGCACAACTTCATTTCGTAGTAACACTATCCACCTTGTAAAAATGAACACCCTCTTCTAACAGCACAAGTGAGAAATGGGATAGTCTTCCCACTGAGTTCCCAGATGTAGGATTGCCATTGTATTCACACACCCGGTGTTAGCCCAAGACGGCACCCTCAAATACAGCTCTGTCTTGGCTTTGCAGAAAAAACAAGACTGTGATATGGAAGAGGTGGCAGTGTGAAGCTGTCAGTACAAAATGCTTGTTTATACTAGAATAACCCCGAAAAGCGCAATTCGATTTGAAATCTGACAGTCTCTTCTCGTGTTGCATTTAAAAACCATTGTCCTAATAAATATTTGAGTTCCCATGATGTGCCAAATGCTAGAAAACACTCTGCATGTGTATGTGTGTGTGTGTGTGTGTGTGTGTGTGTGTGTGTGTGTGTGTGTGTGTGCAGTACAGCGGAGCAGAGTACATCTGCAGTAGCAAGGAAACAGGCTGTTAGCATACAGCTTTGACAACTCCATCAGGCCAGTCTCAAGGTAGCTGTCAATCACAACAAATCATCTCATCCCTCAGCGCTGCGAGGACTTCTCTCCACTACTACACACATGACAGGCCCCTACAGCTCTATTTACCCATGCACACCCTCCTGGTGCTAGTGGATTTGTAATTAGAAAACGAGAGAAAGAGAAAAGAGTCGTGGGGGTAGGTGGTAAAAGTAAGTCAGTTACAAGTTTGGATACAAAGCAAGTGAATGGTGCCTTTTCACCAGCGATGTTGGCATTTGAAGGGCGGGCTGGCACTTGCGTGGTGGCGGTGCATTGAAAAGCAAAGGCATTCTCATTCACTCTCCTATTTTCGGGGGCAATTTGAGCGTGTGTGTGTTTGTGTTCATGTGTGTGTGTGTGTGTGTGGTGGGGGGTGGGGGGGGGTGGGGGTGTCACACACAGTCCTGATTTGCAAGACTCATTTTCAGTTATCTATAATTAGATTAATGTGGTGATGGCATAGCACAAAGCCAGGCCCACTCCACTTCCATCTGAGAGCATATGAATTAGGGAATAAACACTTCTCTCTATTCCAGGCAGAGAAAGTGGTGGAGTGTTTAGCATACCCTTTATGATGGGGAAAGATGTTAATTGTGTGCCATTACCTCTAAACTGTTTGCTTGTTGTATTAATCACTGTGCTAATTGATGCAGAAATAAAATTGTTGCCACGGGCGAGGAAGGGAGTGAACCAGAGTCAGGGATGGCAGATAAAAGATTATCGTGGTAAACATATGGAGATGGCACCGCTTTGAAAGACTGCTCTATATGCCCACCAGCACCGCATGGGATGATGGGTGGAGTGCCAATAGCAGCACAATGCAAGGTTTATGCAGAATGAAACAAAGCATGTTCGGTAGGTTTGTCTGCATATTTAGCAGAAGACAATACCTTACTGTAGACAGAGTGACTTTTATTGTATGATAATCTGGACCCCGCCGTAATTGAATTTACACTATAAAATATACACAGGCCTGTGGCTAGATTTTGATCATAAAAGAGCCCTGGAATTATTGACACAGTCAGTGCCTTGCTTGCCTGATTTAAACTACAATGTTGCCTCCAAATGGATCTCTTGATGTTGTATTTACATCATTGGAAGTCAAGTGCAGGATGCATACAATATACAACATACAGTGACTGACAGCAGAATTTATGTGGCCTTTGTTTTCAATTCCAAAGATGGTGAATGAGGGTTTGTTTGTATTTTTTACCTTCTTTAAAAATTCAAAAAGCATAGACATTGTAAAATGAATGTAACACATTGAAATTTAAAAACTGACCTATGTGGGCCCACGGGCGTCACACTGGGGGGAACAGTGGAGCTAACTACCTCGGCCCCCTCAGAAGATGCCTGGAATTAAAAGCTCAGTAAAAGCTCGGGCTCCTTTCGAGCCTCCCGTGAGCTCTTCCTCCTCTGAAAGGAGTACAAGGTTAAGTCCACTCCACCAATAGGGATGGACGAAGACAGTTCACCTACAAACTTGGTACTTGCGCTGAACTTCTTGGTAATCATGTCTTCATCATGCCCTGAAGAAGTGAAGTCAGGCTTCAAAAAAAAGAAAAAAGGAAGTAAGACAGAAGCAAGAAAGAAAGCAATTTGAAAAAAAAATCACTCAATCACAAATCACAATTTCCTAGCATTATTTTGGAATAGCTTGATATTGGTATTATGGATTGACAGCAATCGTTAGCTTACTGATCAATTAGGCAGCTCTGTCCTCATTTTCAGAAATAGCTACAGAGAGAGGATCAGAAGCAGGTCACCATCATCATTATCACCATTAAGCCATGATAAAGACCTAAAAACCATGAGGGAAATACTATCCTATAATGTTCCCTAATGTTCATAGTAGTAGTGTTGCATTGTAATAATGAAAGCGGAGAGCAGAAATATGCTGAGATGAATTACATATTATTCTAAAACCAGATTCTCGTTTTTTTCAGAACATCTTCAAAATCAAAGAATTTCCAAAGTTTTCTGTGTGAGATTTAGCAGGTAAAAAGAATGTGCAGGTGCCAACTTAAAGTACAGAGGCTTTAATGTGCGGCTGTATGCCTCATTGCCTTACCAGCCTCCAGTGTGAACAGGGGGTAAACAGAGGCAGCCATTTAAAGAACCATGAGTCCATAAGGAGCAGGCAGTGAATGAAGAGATTCAGAGAGAGCTTCAGAGGCCCTCACCAGTGGACCAGCCGCTGCCTCTAAACCTGCTGTGTTTTTGTATGCAGATTCCCCTTGTCAGAATTCATTTATTCAAAGGGAGTTATCTGAGAGAGCGGGTTATGAGACAAAAATAGTGGCATTCACATTCGTCTTGAAAAACATTTGGAATGCTAATGCCATGAGAACATGCCGTTTATGTGCTTGTGTTTGCGTAAGAATCTGATCCAGCGCTCCGTTGGCTCGCCGGCCAAAAGGCGCAGTTCACATAGACAGGAGAGCACTGATACTGCTTACAGGGTTCAATGAATCTAAATCTGCTCTTCGGGAACATTTTTTTTTTTTATTGCCAGGAACATTTACTACTGGAACTCACCATATGCAGCAGTTTGATCTTCGAGCAAAAGGCTAAAAAATCCATATTTTTTTAAAGGGTCATTAGATCATTCTGATCGCAGCCAATGTTCATACAATTGCACCCTTGTTTATCAAAATAGATGTCCTTGGTGATGATGACAAAATTGCCTGTCCTAAACTAAGAAACGATAAATCTCCAGCATTTCACAATAGCCTGAACCATGGCGTCACTATCTTGTTCTCTCTGTGTTTCTCTCCCTCTCCCCCGCTTTCTTTTGCTCTGCACAGGTGGTAGGAGCTTCCTGGTAGAGTCTTTCTCATTCCTTTTTGTTCCCCTCCAATTGCTCTGATCGGGAGCTGTTGATGATGATGACAGTTCTGGCTGTCCATTGATTTGCTGTGGCCCCTAGTCGCGAGTTCACAGCAGATGACACTCTTCCTTTGGCTTTAATTAGAGCTGCCCCATCTTCTCTTCTTTCCTGCCCTGGATGTGGTTCGACACATGAACACAAAAAGCTCCTACACACAAAACTCCCTGCTAGGAAACAGCCAACACTTGCCTAGTGGAGCTAGTATTTAGTGTCTTGACTACAAACCTGCGTGGTCAAGAAAGGATTTTTTTTTTCTAGCACTATAAATAAAACAACGACCAGATGCTTAGCACTGTATTCCCGCATAGACATGATCATGAACCCATTAATGCACATGTGCAATAATGTATACACACTGTGCCTGTTTATTATCCTGATCCACACAAGTCTAATCATAAGAAAACTATCATTAAACTGGAGGGATGATACATTTTTATTCATCCTTATATCACCCACGAGGCACAGTCCTCCCTCTGCTGTGCCAGGATATACATGGGCCTCATCTTACCATCTGTCCCAGACATGAGCCACCACTCCAGACCTGGGTGGGAAGAAGGGGGGAGAGAGAATCCCTGGTCTGGGCAGGGGTTATTATCTCAGTGGTCATGGGTCCTTGCACATATTTCATGGTTGCTCTCAGGGTGTCTTCTCACAGCCATTAGCAGACCATATTCATTTAAAGCACTTGTGGGTCACTTGTGGCCTGCACTCTGTTACTCTTTCGGTGTTGGAAAAACAAATGAGGTAAATGAGATGAGATCTGAAGGGATGTCAAAACACAAACAACATTCAGTTATGTTTAGTACAGCTCTGGCTTTTTCTTTTTTTTATATTTCCTTA